CGGAGCCTGGGGGTGCTGAGCCGGGGGGTGCTGTGCCTGGAGGTGCTGGGTCTGGGGGTGCTGGGTCGGGAGCTGCTGAGCCTGGGGGTGCTGAGCTGGGAGCTGCTGAGCCTGGGGGTGCTGCGTCTGGAGCTGCTGAGCCTGGGGTTTCTCCTGCTGCTGCGTCTTGCCGGGAGCCCCTCTCTCCACAGGAGCTGCGCGAGTGGTTCGCTCGCCGCTGGAGGCGTGCTGCTGAGTCTGGAGGTGCTGCTGGAGCTGGAGCTGGAGCTTCTTCGACCGTCGAGGGTGCGGGTGCTGCCGGTCCCGGAGCTGCTGGACCTGCGGGTCCTCCTGGAGCTGGAGCTGCTGGGGGCGTTCGTGCTGAGCCTGCTGCTGTTGGTCCTGCCGCTGGAGGTGTGGGTGGCGCTGGTGCTGTAGCTGAGGGTGCTGGTGCTGTCCCTGCTGAGTCTGGAGCTGCCGCGCGGCCTCGGCCGTACTTCGTTCCGCTCCTGCAGCAGGTTCTTGGTCTTTCTCCTCCAGTAGAGGGTCCACCACCTGTCCAGTCGCAGTCCCTACTGGAGCCTTCCTCTCCACTGCCTGCTCCCTCTCCTTACTCTGGTCCTACTGGAGGTCTTGCTGAGCGTCGTGAGCCTGCGTCTCGTCCCGCGTCGCCTGTTCGTGCTGCTCGCGCTAGTGGTCGCAGTTCGCGTCAGCGTCCTCCTCCTGTCCCTGGCACGCACTGGATGTCTCTGCGTCCGTCCACTGCTCCTCTGCGTGCCCCTTTGCCTTCTCCTCCTGAGTCCTCACTTCCTGCGCTTGCCGACCCTGAGTCGGACTCTCTTCGCGCTGCGAGTCCTACTGTCACGCGTCTGCTTGCTACTGTCGTCACTGACCCCTCTTTTGAGTCCACTGCTGCGTCTGCTCTAGTCGCTGAGCTCGTTGACTTTGCTGCTCGCTGTCGTCTCGACTACACTGCTAGTCTTGTTGCTGAGTCTGCGTCTGTCTGTCCTCCGTCCGTCGGGGGTGAGTGTGCTCTTGGCACGGACGTCCTAGAGGACAGACAGGAGGAGTTACAGTGTCTAGCGGCTGCTTCACCTCATCTCGCGTCTGTACTGCTTGCCCCTGAGGGAGACCCGGATGCACTAGACATCCCGACTCCGCGTTCTTACGCGGAGGCCGTAGAGGGTCCCTACTCCTCTCAGTGGCAGGCAGCTATGGATGCAGAGATGGCTTCCTGGAAGTCCACAGGCACCTACGTTGACGCGGTTCCCCCTCCTGGGGCGAACATCGTCAGTGGCATGTGGATCTTCAGGGTGAAGCGGCCGCCGGGCTCTCCACCTGTCTTCAAGGCACGGTACGTTGCTCGTGGCTTCAGTCAGCGGCAGGGAGTTGACTACTTTCAGACCTTCTCTCCCACCCCGAAGATGACTACTCTTCGGGTGCTGCTGCACATCGCCGCTCAGCGCGACTACGAGCTTCACTCTCTCGACTTCAGCACTGCGTTCTTACAGGGTAGCCTGCACGAGGAGATCTGGCTTCGCCGTCCACCTGGCTTCACTGGGACTTTCCCTCCTGGCACCCAGTGGAGCCTCCGACGGCCAGTCTACGGTCTCCGCCAGGCACCGCGTGAGTGGCACGACACACTGAGGACTACGCTTGCGGCTCTTGGGTTTGCTCCTTCTACTGCTGACCCGTCGCTGTTTCTTCGCACCGACACTTCCCTGCCGCCGTTCTACATCCTCGTGTACGTCGACGACTTGGTCTTTGCCACAGCGGACACTGCTGGACTCGCCTACGTGAAGTCCGAGCTGCTGAAGAGACACACGTGCACAGACCTGGGTGAACTGCGCAGCTACCTTGGCTTGCAGATCACTCGGGACAGAGCACGCCGCACCATTACCTTGACTCAGTCACACATGGTGCAGCAGGTCCTTCAGCGCTTCGGCTTCACGTACTCCTCGCCTCAGGCCACTCCTCTGCCTACTCGCCACTCACTCTCAGCTCTGCCTTCGGATGAGTCCGTAGAGTCGAGTGGTCCGTATGCAGAGCTTGTTGGCTGCCTCATGTACCTGATGACCTGCACACGACCTAACCTTGCATACCCTCTTAGCATTCTTGCACGCTATGTTGCTCCTGGGAGACACCGACCGGAGCACATGGCTGCAGCGAAGAGGGTATTGCGCTACCTGTGCAGTACGTCGGGCATGGGGCTAGTGCTTGGAGGGCGGAGTCCAGTGGTCCTTACCGGCCACGCGGACGCTTCTTGGGCTGACGACCAGGCTACGCAGCGGTCGTCACAGGGTTACACCTTCAGCCTTGGTTCCGGCTCTGTCTCGTGGCGGTCTACTCGCTCGTCTTCGGTTCTCGGCTCCAGTTGTGAGGCTGAGATCTACGCCGGGGCCATGGCTGCACAGGAGCTTCGCTGGCTCACCTACCTGCTGACTGACCTTGGAGAGCCGCCTCGTTCTCCTCCAGTGCTGTACGTAGACAACAAGGCCATGCTGGCCTTGTGTCGAGAGCAGCGCTTGGAGCACAGAACGAAGCACATTGCTCTCCGCTACTTCCTTGCTCGTGAGCTGCAGCAGCGTGGTCAGTTGCGACTTGCGTACGTGGCCTCTGAGGCCAACACTGCTGATGTGTTCACCAAGGCACTCGCGCCTTGTGACCATCAGCGCTTTTGCACCCAGCTGGGTCTTGTGCCTGTCTTGCCTCACTTGCTCTCCTCTTGACTTCACTTGTACTGTGACATATATATATGCCTGCTCTTGTTTGTCTAGTTTTATATATATGTCTGTACTCCTGCATGTGAACTGGCCTCTGGCCCTACTCTTGTGCTCGGACTGTGTGGTGACTTTGTGATCCACCCTGAGCGTGCTTTGCTTTGCTTGACTGGTCTTGTGACCCCTTGTTCTCCCCCACTTTGCCTATGGGGGTGTGTCAGATTTATATGACATAGTTGCTGTAGGCTATAGTGGGGTAGCACATATGGGGTACAGGGTTTCTAGGGTTGTATTTGTACCCAATCTTTCCTTAGTCATTCTCATTCCTGCTTACTCATTTCACACTCTGCGCGCTGTTCGACATCCGCAACCCCATCATCAGGGCTCGGATGGAGCGCGCAAGTCCGCCGCTCAATCTGAACCAGACCCCACCTCCCACCACGCCCGTCGGCTCCACCCCGCCGGCGGAGACCCCTCGCCGCCGTGGGCGTGTGCTGCCGACGTGGATGACTGCGCCTACCCCGCGCTGGGTCACTTTGGCTCAGCAGGCGGCACGCCGCCAGGAGCTCATTGAAGCAGGGGCGCCCGCCGTGATGGGCGGGTTCCTGGATGCGGCCGAGTGGATGAGGCTGTGAGGGGGGTTGATATCCCCTTGTGTTGATTTCGTTACGGTGCTGTAAATGTGCAAGACTCGTGCAGATTGACATCAGGTAGTTGTAATCAATGTTAACATTGCATTACACAGGTGTGGGTTGTTAATCGCCGGGGTTGGGCTGGATCGTGTTCTGTGTGAGGGAGAGATGTTGTTTGTGATGAGATGGGTGATGTGTGAAATGAGTAAGCAGGAATGATGTGAACTATGAGTGAAAGCAGTACAAATGTGAAACCCTAACTGGGTTGTACCCCCTATGGGATACCCCACTACAGCCTACACAGCAGTATAAGCTATAGACATGTTCTGACATGATGTGTTGTAATGGGTTGCATTGTTTTAAAGAAATTGCAGTGGTAACCAGGTCCACCAACAAACAACAAGTAAGTCCGCCCTGTACTGTGCAGAATGAAACAAACGTGTTACAACCAGTGTCAGATAAAAGCACCTGGCAGTCTCGGCGAACTTGACGAACTGGGCGAAATGCCAAAATCACTTATAAGCCCAGAGGAAGACCCAAGTGTGGGGGACTCTAACGAGCATCAGGTGTACAGCCGTCATAAACAGCCCATTTACTGTAGCGAGTCTTATTTTACTGTTTTGATGTTAGCGCACAGGTCTTTGGCAACAGCACCACCATCATCGGCTGGGGGGGGCTGTCTGTCTTCGCACAAGAAGTTCAACAAATCACTGCCGTAGATTCATGTACTGGACGCAGTGTGCAATCTTTGCTGTGTTGCTTCCAGGAGGATCTAGAACTCGTCGGGTCGCTGCTGCAGCATCCGTCAGATTCACGCGCCCTCAAATCTATCCTCCATCTTTTCTCACCGACAAATACGTGGTCCTCAGACCTGCACAGCTGTCATATTATGTCGCGAGTGCTGGTTACCCGCATCGCCTTAGTCGCCCGAATCTCATCCCATCACGTGTGGTACGCTGGAGGAATGACCAGTTTTACAGCACAGCAGCGAACAGCAAACCAACGCCATGGTCAAATCTAGGGTTTCCTTTCCAATCCAACACCCGGCTTTTGTCTCTGCTGCATGCCTTTCTTGGCAACAGGCATTCCTTCCAGCTTTCCGAGAGAAAATGACACCTGGAGCCCGCTCGTGACATTGTGGTTGACATCAACTTTACATCATCAAAGAGCTTGCCTAAGCGTACGGTCAGCCTATCTCGATGGCGTTTTCCTTATCTCTAGCTTAGCTTGGCCGCTTACGGAAATCCGTACCGAAGTTGTTGGCGTTGGAGGCTGTTTGTCACAGGGCAAGCCCAGTAAACCATTAGGAATAACTTCGTGTAGATGAGTAAACTGAATTAGGTGAAGGACGTAACCGTTATCAAGTCATTGGAGTTCCTCGAATCGTCGTATGTGTCTATCTCGCCTTCGTGCGATCGCCGATCCGATCTCTCAATCCATCTCCAGGGCGTTCCACTTTACTAGCAAAATCACATTCCTGTTCATGTAGTTTAGGGTCGAGCGGCTGCTCTTACAAAACTTTGTTTTCTTTTGGTTTATTTAGCTAACTTTAATAGTCCTCTCAGCAATGGAGGTAACCAGCAAAGCCGCGCGGGAAGGATCCCGCGCGGGCGGGGGAGGCGAGGCCTCCAGTCGGCGCAACGGTGGGGAAAGAGAGGGCCGCGGATCGATGAGCGGAACAAAGCGGGAGCGCGGCGGGGGCGCGTGGGGCGCGGAGAGCAGCGGTCCCGCCGGGCGCAGTGGAGCCGGCGGAGCGGGGGGAGCCGGGGGGAGTTCCGCGGGGGCGGGCGCGGAGAAGAAGGTGAAGGTGATGCAGCGCGGGCACGGCATTGCGCACCTGGAAAAGCTCCGCCTGCAGGAATTGCGCAACGCGGAACTAGAGCGGTCGCAGCAGCAACAGCAACAACAGCAGCAGCAGCAACAGCAGCAGCTGCGACAGCTTCAGCAACAGGACCCCTCAAGCCTCCTAACCTCTTCCGCGGCCCTCCAAGCCCTAGGCCTCGGCGGACTCTTCCCCTTACCTCCCCCCGTCGCTTCCTCCTCTCTCGCGTCGCTCTCCGCCCCTCTGGGGCCGCTTTCTGACAACCTCGCGACAGCTGCGGCGGCGGCGGCGGCAGCGGCCGCCGCGTCCGATCCGCTATTAAGTATCGCTGCTAGAAGGCAGCTATCGCTACTTGCCGCGTCGCGATCGTTATCCAGCGATTTCGCGGATCGAATGCGCGTGGGGGGAGATCGATCTGTGGTGGGCGGAGGGAGCGGGGCGGGCGGAAGCTTGGGCGGGCTGGGCGCAGCGCTTGGGGGCCTGAGCGGAACGACGGGGAGCAGTCCGGGCGGACACGAGCGGGTTCCGCTCGACGTGGTGATGGCAGCTTCGGCAGGCGCAGCTTTGGGTAGAGAAGGATTCCACAGGCTCGGCGGAGGCTTGGGCGGAGGTTTGGGCGGTGGCTTGTTTGGTGCGGGTGGATTAGGGCTTGGCGGGGGGTTGGGCGGAGGGCTGGGGGCCGGCGCAGCGGGGACGCGGGGAGGGACCGCGAGCGAAGGAGGCGCGGGGTTCGGGAGTATCTTTGGAGGGGGGTTGAGGGGGGCGGCGGTGGCGGCGGCCGCGGCAGCTGCGCACGCAGCGAGTACGGGAAGGGCCGGCACTGGCGGAGCGATGCAGTCGCTTAGCGAGTTCGCCATCCGGCGGCTTCAGATCCTGGTGAGCGGAGTGATGCTGAAAGCCGTTGGTTTAGCATAAAATAGTCCGGCTCTGAGGCTCTTAAAAACTTGAACCCGACAGGTTCAGATCCTGGTGAGTGGAGTGACGGTTGGAGCCATGGAACATCTTTTCTTTCCTTTTTCCAAAGGATGCTATATTTTTTTTTCTTTTTTTCTTCTTTCGTTTGCTTGCTTACGTGTTTTTCGTTTCATTTTTATTTCCTGCGGGCTGCCTTTTTTTGATTTTCTGGGCGCGGTCCCGGCCCTCCCCTCCGTAGAACGACTTACGGCAGGTGGAATCAGCAGGCGGGGGATCGAATCTCGACGTTGGCGCGTTTGGCGGCGCAGGGGGGCCGGGGGGCGGGAGTGTGGCGATCGGCGCGGGGTACAACTCGTGGGAGGTCGACAGCAGCTCGCGCACCCCAGGGTCCCGCGGAACAGCCCTGGACGCAGCGCTAGGCGCAGCGCCGGGGGGAGCGTCAGGGGGAACGCCAGGGGGAATGTTCGGGGGAACGTTAGGATCGGCCGCAGGGGGGGGTCTTGCTGGGGCGGCTTCTTCCCGCGGGCTGTCTAATCTCGCATCAGGCGCGCGCGCAGGCGGGGGAAGCGCGGAGATGAGCGCTGGCGGGGCCGTCGGAAGCGGAATGGGCGCTGGGGGCGCGGCTATAAGCTCTGGGGGAGGCGGTAGCCCGGGGGGAAGCTCGCTTTCCGCGCATCTGCCCAGCGCCGTGCCTCTTTCTGCCACTGGCGCGGGGCTGGGGCCTTCTGGTTTGCGCCACAGCAGCTATGGGGGGGATGGGGGAACTGAGGGGTCACCCTTTGGGGGAGGCAGAGGCGGAGGCGGGGGCGGAGGGGGAGGCGGAGGGGGAGGGGGGATGGGCGGCGGAAGGAATCTTGAGGAGGAAAGCGGGAAAAAGGGTTTTTTGGGGGGATTTGACCAGAGGCGGGGTAGTGGGGGGAATGATGCTAGTGGGGAGCGACTGGGGGCGGGAGAGGGCGGAAGGGGCGCAATGTTTGGGCTAGGGGCGGGCAGGAGGGAGGAGGAGAAGGTGGGCAGAGAAAGGGCTTTCCCAGTGCATCACACACACCCGTTCATGCAGTAAGTTGTTACTACCGTACCGTACCGTACTGTACTGTACCGCACTGTTCCCTAGCCTTGCGTCAGATTCAGCACCTTCACCCTTGCTTTTGATGGCACCAGCACCACACACACCCATTCATGCTGTAATCTCACGCATCATTCTCTCAACATATATCCTGTTTTGAGGCGCCTCAAAACTAGACTTCTCTGAACATATATCCTGTCTTCCCCTCCATCCCGATTCCCCCTCCCCGCCCTCCCTCCCCTTCCCCCTCTTCCTTCCTTTCTGCCCCCTCCCAAATATTTTTCTGCGGTCCCGTTCCTTCCCGCAGTAGCTCCCGAACCGTGTCCGAGCCTGTGAGTGGAGCCTCGGCATCGCTCATCGCGTCCCTCTCCTCGCGAATCCTTGCCGAAGCTCACATGCGCGAGGCTGCAGCGGCAGGAGCGGCGGGAGGAATGGGAGGAGCAGGGGCAGGAGGAATAGGAGGAGCAGGAGGAGGAGCAGGGGCAGCAGGAGTGGCAGGAGCACCAGGGGCAGCAGGTATCACCTATGCTAACTCCCCAGCAGCTGCTGCAGCGGCAGCAGCCGCCGCAGCAGCGCATCTGAATCACCTAAACGCGGCAGCAGCAGCATCGGCAGCAACAGCAGCAGCGGCAACAGCAGCGGCAACTGCAGCGGCAACTGCAGCAGCAACAGCAGCAGCGCACTTTGGAAATTTGGCAGACCTAGACCCAACAGCAGCAGCAGCTGCTGCAGCAGCGGCGGCAGCAGCGGCGGCAGCAGCAGCAACCACAGCGCAACAACCCCCCAACCCTTCCTCCTCCCCCTCCCCAGGACAGGCGCTTTCCCCATTTCCTTCCCCAGCCTCCCCATTCTCCCCTGCCTCTTTAGCCGATTCTCTCCTTTTGAACCGTCTCAAGGCGGAGTCTCATTTGAGAGACTTGGCAGCAAGAGATTCGAAAGCGGCGGATTCGGCTCGCAGAGACGTGAAGGCGGATGATTTGGGTCCAAGAGACGTGAAAACGGCGAGCATGGAGGAACAGTTACAAGGTTTGAAAGCGGCTCAAGAAGCAAGAGCATCGCAAGAGGCGAAAGCAGCACACCTGGCTTTTAGGCTGCAGTTAGAGGGGCGTCTGGGACCACAGGAGGCAGCACGGCAGCTGGATGCGTTTTCTGAGGCGCCACAGCAAAGCCAAAACGTGTTTTCTGAGCCCAGAGGAACGGATTTGGCGCCTTTTGAGGCTCCCAGAGGAACGGATTTGTCGCTGATTCTTGAGTCGGCGCGAAAAGCGGCGCAGGAGTCGAAAGCTGCGGGTTTGGCTTTAAGGCTGCAGCTAGAGGGGAGGCTGGGACCGCAGGAGGCAGCACGGCAGCTGGAAGCGGCTAGGCTAGCCGCTGCTGGGGTTTTGGGGGGGGTGGGAGCAGGGGTAGGGGGGAGAGGCGGGGAGGTAGGCGCAGGGGTAGGCGCAGGGGGAGGGGGAGGGGGAGGGGGAGGGGGAAGCGCGGGGTCAGGCGCGGGGAGAGGGGGATTGGAGGAAGCTGGAGCAGGAATGGGAGCAGGTGTTGGGAAAGGGGGAGGATTAGGGCTGGGGATTGGAGGTGGGGAGATGGGTGCAGGAGGGAGAGAGGGAGGTGGGTCCGTGCAGAAGGGGGAGAAGGAGAATCACATGTTTGGAACGGTTTTTGAGGCGCCTGAGAAGAATAGGTCGTTTGAAGCTGCTTCAAAGGCTGGTGGTGCTGGTGGGGATATATCAGGAGGGCGAGGTGGAGAGGGGTTTGGAAAGCAGGGGGAGGGAAGCATGGGTCGGAAAGTGGCTGAGCAGGGAGAGTGGTTTGGAAAGCAGGGGGGGTCTAGACTGACGGAGGGTGGGGAGAAGAGACGGAAGGAGGAGGGGGTGGATGAGGAAGAAGGGGGATGGAAGGGACGTGAGGGTATGGCAAAGAGGGGAAGGAGAGAGGAGGTGACAGAGGAGGTGAGGGGTGTGGGGGATGAGGGGAGGAGGACGAGAGGAGTGGGAGGTGTGGGAGGGATGGGGGAGGGGCAAGGGCAGGGGGTGCAGGTTCCGGCGAATTTCTTCCTGAATAGGTGGGCTTCGGTGGGGAGGAGTAAGGAGTTGGAATTGGCAGCAGGGGGTTCGGTAGGTGCACCTGAAGCAGCACCAGCAGCAGCAGCAGCAGCAGCGGCAGCAGTATCTCCAGCACGGAAAACAGCAGCATCAGTGGCAGCAGCAGCCGGTGCTCCAGCCGGTGCCGCTACAGCTGGTGCCGCTACAGCCGCTGGTGCTACAGGCGTAAATGCTTCAGCTGCTGGCTCTGGTAATGCAGGCGTGGAGACTAAGTGGTCGAGTTTTGAGACGTCTCAGAACGCTACAGGCGTCAATGCTACAGCTGCTGGCGCTGATAATGCAGGCGTGGAGACTAAGTGGTGGCGGCAAGTGAATCTTAACCTGGAAGAGGCAGGTGCAATGAGGAGCAGTGATCGGGTGGTGCTTAGGGACGAAGCTGGGTTAAGTGGCAGTGGTGTCGGCAGCGTGGGAGGCGTTGGGTCGACTGGTGGTGCTACAGATGGTGCTGGTGATGCTACAGATGGGGCTGGTGATGCTACAGATGGGGCTGGTGATGCTACAGATGGGGCTGGTGATGCTACAGATGGGGCTGGTGATGCTACAGATGGGGCTGGTGATGCTACAGACGGGGCTGCTACGGGTGGTGGTGCCGGCGAGGCTGGTAGAGGTGCTGCAACAGAAGATGCTACAGCCGGTGCTACAGGTGGTGCTACAGGTGGTTGCGCCGAAACTGGTGAGGCTGCTTCTGTTGGTTTTGGCGGTGGTGTGTTGTACGAGGAGGAGCGGAGGACAGCTGGGAAGGGGAGAGTAGAGAATGAAGAGAAGGGGAGAGCGGAGGAGACAGGGAGAACGGAGGTGAAAGGGAGAGAGGAGGAGAGGATAGGTAAGGAGGGGAGAAGAGTTAAGGAGGAAATGGAGGTGGAAGACTGGAGGACAGGCGGGGAGAGCCGAGCAGTGGAGGAGAAAAGGAGAGCAGCGGATGGGGAGAGGGTAGTGAAAAAGGAGGGAGCAGTGGAGGAGGAGAGGGCAGTTGAAGAGGAGAGAGCGGTAAAGGACTTGAGAAGCAACATGGTTAAGTGCTTGGGGGAGGAAGTGGCTCGACGGGTCTTTGCCGCCATGCAGTCTCAGGAGGAGGAGTGCGGCAGGCAGATTCGCGAGCTGCATGAGTTACATGAGGTGCGGTGCGCGTGCGTGTGCTTGCTTGGGTTGGGTTGGGTGGCTTGGGGGGGGCAGTGGCTGGACGGGTCTTTGCTGCCATGCAGTCTCAGGAGGAGGAGTGCGCTAGGCAGATTCGCAAGCTGCACTGCACCATCTACATGAGGTGCGGTGCGCGTGTGTGTGCTTGCTTGGGTTGAGTGGCATAGGCCTTGGGGTGAGTCTATGTCTGAGTCCACTCAAAAATAGACTCGTCTCAGGAAGAGGAGTGCAGCAGGCAGATTCGCGAGCTGCATCGTTTACTTGAGGTGTGTGTACTGCTGTGTGTGTGTGTGTACTGCTGTGTGTGTGTGTGTACTGCTGTGTGTGTGTGTGTACTGCTGTGTGTGTGTGTGTACTGCTGTGTGTGAGTGTGTTTTCTGTAAGTCGAGTTTTGAGTCGACTCAAAACTTGTGTGTGTGTGCTTGCTTCTGAAAAATCTCTAGAGTCACATCGTTTACATGAGGTGTGTGTGTGTACTGTGTGTGTGTGTGTACTGTGTGTGTGTGCTGTGTGTGTGTACTGTGTGTGTGTACTGTGTGTGTGTGCTTGCTTCTGAGAATTCTCTAGAGTGCGCGTGAGTCACATCATTTACATAGGTGCGCGTGTGTGTGTGCCCCTGTTTTCCTCTCCCCAACGCTCTCCCCCCTTTCCCCCCTTCCCCACCCCCTTTCCTCCGTCTTCTATGTCCACAGAAGCAGCGGCAGCTCCTATCTCAGCTACAGCCGGCAGTATTATCACACATAGGTGTTGTGTCATTGCTTCTGCCCTGCTCCCTTTGCCCCTGTTTCCCTCTTCCCCACTCCCCCCCACACCCCACCCTTCCTCCTCCGTTTCCTATGTCCACAGAAGCAGCGGCAGCGCTCAGGTACAACCGGCAGAGATACTCACGAGACGTAATAATTCTCTCCGTATGAAATCCGCGTGTAGGGAGGTGCATTTTGAGGCGCCTCAAAAGGCAGCGCGCAGAGATACTCACGAGACGTCTCAAAAGCCGGCAGAGATACTCACGAGACGTCTCAAAAGCCGGCAGAGATACTCACGAGACGTCTCAAAAGCCGGCAGAGATACTCACGAGACGTCTCAAAAGCTGGCAGAGATACTCACGAGATGTCTCAAAAGCCGGCAGAGATACTCACGAGACGTCTCAAAAGCCGGCAGAGATACTCACGAGACGTCTCAAAAGCCGGCAGAGATACTCACGAGACGTCTCAAAAGCTGGCAGAGATACTCACGAGACGTCTCAAAAGCCGGCAGAGATACTCACGAGACGTCTCAAAAGCCGGCAGAGATACTCACGAGACGTCTCAAAAGCCGGCAGAGATACTCACGAGACGTCTCAAAAGCCGGCAGAGATACTCACGAGACGTCTCAAAAGCCGGCAGAGATACTCACGAGACGTCTCAAAAGCCGGCAGAGATACTCACGAGACGTCTCAAAAGCCGGCAGAGATACTCACGAGACGTCTCAAAAGCCGGCAGAGATACTCACGAGACGTCTCAAAAGCCGGCAGAGATACTCACGAGACGTCTCAAAAGCCGGCAGAGATACTCACGAGACGTCTCAAAAGCCGGCAGAGATACTCACGAGACGTCTCAAAAGCCGGCAGAGATACTCACGAGACGTCTCAAAAGCCGGCAGAGATACTCACGAGACGTCTCAAAAGCCGGCAGAGATACTCACGAGACGTCTCAAAAGCCGGCAGAGATACTCACGAGACGTCTCAAAAGCCGGCAGAGATACTCACGAGACGTCTCAAAAGCCGGCAGAGATACTCACGAGACGTCTCAAAAGCCGGCAGAGATACTCACGAGACGTCTCAAAAGCCGGCAGAGATACTCACGAGACGACTCAAAAGCCGGCAGAGATACTCACGAGACGTCTCAAAAGCCGGCAGAGATACTCACGAGACGTCTCAAAAGCCGGCAGAGATACTCACGAGACGTCTCAAAAGCCGGCAGAGATACTCACGAGACGTCTCAAAAGCTGGCAGAGATACTCACGAGACGTCTCAAAAGCCGGCAGAGATACTCACGAGACGTCTCAAAAGCCGGCAGAGATACTCACGAGACGTTTCAAAAGCCGGCAGAGATACTCACGAGACGTCTCAAAAGCTGGCAGAGATACTCACGAGACGTCTCAAAAGCCGGCAGAGATACTCACGAGACGTCTCAAAAGCCGGCAGAGATACTCACGAGACGTCTCAAAAGCCGGCAGAGATACTCACGAGACGTCTCAAAAGCCGGCAGAGATACTCACGAGACGTCTCAAAAGCCGGCAGAGATACTCACGAGACGTCTCAAAAGCCGGCAGAGATACTCACGAGACGTCTCAAAAGCCGGCAGAGATACTCACGAGACGTCTCAAAAGCCGGCAGAGATACTCACGAGACGTCTCAAAAGCCGGCAGAGATACTCACGAGACGTCTCAAAAGCCGGCAGAGATACTCACGAGACGTCTCAAAAGCCGGCAGAGATACTCACGAGACGTCTCAAAAGCCGGCAGAGATACTCACGAGACGTCTCAAAAGCCGGCAGAGATACTCACGAGACGTCTCAAAAGCCAGCAGAGATACTCACGAGACGTCTCAAAAGCCGGCAGAGATACTCACGAGACGTCTCAAAAGCCGGCAGAGATACTCACGAGACGTCTCAAAAGCCGGCAGAGATACTCACGAGACGTCTCAAAAGCCGGCAGAGATACTCACGAGACGTCTCAAAAGCCGGCAGAGATACTCACGAGACGTCTCAAAAGCCCCAACCCCCCCCTCCTCCGCCCCCTCCCCGTCCCCCTCCTCTCCTTCCGCCCTTCCTTTCATGTCCACAGAAGCAGCGGCAGCTTCTGTCTCAGCTACAGCCGGCAGACATACCACCTCCCTCCTCCACCCCCACCTCATCCCTCCCCTTCCCTGCTGCTGCTCCTCGCTCCACCTCCTCCCTTCCCTCCCTGGCTGCTGCTCCTCCCGCGACCTCTCTCCATATGGGTGGAGGAGAAGCAACAGCAACAGCAACAGCCCCCCCTGCTACTCGCCCTTCCACCCTCTTTCCTACCGTTTCCGCACCTCTTTCCTGCAGCAGACCCACACCCAGTAAGTAATCCCAGTCTTTAGTCCGAGCTCTCTTGTCCCACATTCTTTAGAATTCTCAAAGGTGGTTGAATCTACTTCTGAGAATTCTCCAAGCCTCAACTCCCTATTTGCTCCTTCCTTTCCTCCTCCTCCAAAACCTCCCCTACCTTTCCTCTCCCCTCCTCTCTTCCACCCTCCCTCTCTTGCCTTCCAAGTTCATATTGGGAGTAGCAGCAACCCTAAAGAAATCGCTTCCCCTTGCCTTTCCTCAGCGTTCAACCCGCCTGAGAGTTGGGCTAAGGCCACCTTCTCATCAATCCGTGCTTTCGTCCCACCTGGTCCGTCTGCCCCTTCCATTCCCCCTCCCCTCCACCCTCATCCTCTCTCTCTCTCTCCCCCTTCTTCCCCTTGCCTTTCCTCAGCGTTCAAACCGCCTGAGAGTTGGGCTGGGGCCACCTTCCCATCAATCCGTGCTTTCGTCCTACCTGGTCTGTTTGCCCCTTCCATTCCCCCTCTTCCATCCTCTTCCCCACTCTCTCTATCCCTCGCGCCCTCCCTCCCTCCCTCCTTCCCTCCCTCCCTCCCTCCCTCCTCCCTCCCTCCCTCCCTCCCTCCCTCCCTCCCTCCCTCCCTCCCTCCCTCCCTCCCTCCCTCCCTCCCTCCCTCCCTCCCTCCCTCCCTCCCTCCCTCCCTCCCTCCCTCCCTCCCACCCTCTCTCTTCCCCACCCTTCAACCCTCCTGCGAGCTGCGCCCGGACCACCTATGCATCCAACTGCCAACAGTGCTCCGGTCCTAACCCGTCCTTGCGTTCAACTCGCCGGAGAGCTGGCCTCACCGGAGAGCTGCATCTTTTGAGACGTCTCCGCGCCCCCCTTTCTCCTCTCTCAGACTCGCAGCATTCAACCCGCCTGGAAGCGGGGCTCTGGCTGTCTGCATGCACCAGTGCTCTTGTCCGGACCTCCTAACCACTCCACACTCCACCTCTCTCCGCGCGTCCCTTTTCTCCTCTCGTAAACTTTCAGCGTTCAACCCGCCGGAGAGCAGGGCCCAACACCCCCTCCTCCTCCCACCTCCCCCTCCCTGTCCCCCTCCCCGTCCCCTTCCCCCCGCCTTTAATTCCGCAGCGTTCAACCCGCCGGAGAGCAGGGCCTAACACCCCCCCCTCCCACCTCCTCCTCCCCGTCCCCCTCCCCTCCCTCTTTTATTCCGCAGCCTTCAACCGGCCTGAGAGCTGGGCTCGGGCCGCCTATGCCTGCAACGGTGCTCCGGACCTCCTAACCAGTCGCTCTCTCCCCGCCTCCCTTTCTCCTCTCTTATCCTCTCAGCGTTCAACCCGCCTGAGAGCTGGGCTCGGGCCGCCTATGCCTGCAACGGTGCTCCGGACCTCCTAACCAGTCGCTCTCTCCCCGCCTCCCTTTCTCCTCTCTTATCCTCTCAGCCTTCAACCCGCCTGAGAGCTGGGCTCGGGCCGCCTATGCCTGCAACGGTGCTCCGGACTTGAACGCGGATCCGGAGGCTGATTCCCCAGCAGCAGACGCACCAGCAGACGCGGCAGCAGCAGAAGCACCAGCAGCAGAAGCAGCAGCAGGCATGCCAGCAGGAGTGGCAGCAGCTGCAGCTGTAGCAGGATCAGGAGCAGGAGCAGGAATAGGAGGAGGGGCAGGGTGGCGCATAGGGTTAAGAAACACTGCAGCAGTTGATGCTGATGTGAAACAAACGCCTTCTGAGCTTCATCCTAGCAGCTTCAGAAAGAGGGATCATGTGGATTTCAGTAGACTAGAGAGCTACGGGAGAGGGGAGAGAGGAGAAAGAGATGATCGGGAATCGGAGAGGTGTGGAAAGAAGGGTAGAGGAGGCTTGGATTTCGACCTGGAGTCCGAACCTGCTGCTGAGGCTCGGGCTGATGAGGGTCGGTCAGGGTTTGATCTGGAGGCTGTTCCAACGGCTGAGATCGGCGATGGAGCAGGCAGAGGATCTGGACGGCAGGGGCTGGACTTGGAGCAGGATCCGACGGTTGAGGTTGCTTCGGAGCGAGATCTGCGGATGGGATCGCAAGCAAGTGGTTTGCACTGTTCCACAACCGAACCTGCCAGAGCAGATAGGACGGGAACAGAGCTGGGCTCTGGTTCGGCTGTATCCGAACCTGGCGACCCTAGGTCTGGGACAGGCCTGGGCGCAGGCCTCTGCTTATCAGGGTCCTTTGCAAAACCAGAACATACCTTTGAGGCGCCTCAAAAGTCGGAGATGGGAGCAGGTCTCTGTTTATCAGGATCTATGGCCGAACCAGAAGCTAGTGGTGAAGATGCCGCACGCAGCGCCAGCGCATACCCGCCCCAGTCGCTTCCTTTCAGTTTAGAATCTTCAAAAGCTGCAGCTGAAGCAGATTTAGAAGCAGAAGCAGAAGCTGGAGTGAAAGATCAAGCCACGGCTGAAGCTGAGGGTCTTGCGGCTGGGTCTGAAGACAGGTGTGGTGGTAAGCTTGACCTGGAAGCTGGTTTGTCCAAAGCAGATCCGCCCCAGTCGCTTCCTTTCAGTTCGCTTTCAGAAGCAGGCGCCAAAGCAAAAGTGGAGGGTGTTGCAGCTGGGTCTGAAGACAGGTGTGGTGGTAAGCTTGACCTGGAAGCTAATTTGTCCGGAGCAGACCCGCCCCGATCGCTTCCTTTCAGTTCGAAGCCTTCAAAAGCAGAAGCTGAAGCAAAAGTGGAAACAGAAGCTAATGACGCAGCTGCAGCTGGTTCTGCTGAAGGGTGTGGTGGTAAGCTTGACCTGGAAGCTGATCCATCAAAAGCCGGTGCGCCCCGGTCGCTTCCTTTTAATCCAAAGCCTTTGGATGTAAAAGCCGAAGCTACAGCCGGGGGTACGCTTGACCTGGAAGCTGGTTTGTCCAGAGAAGATCCGGTACAGCTGCTCCCTTCTACTTCGAAGGTCTCAGAAGCTGAAGCCGAAGGAAAGGCTGAACCTGAACCTGCACCTGAACCTGCACCTGAAACTGCACCTGAAATTGCACCTGAGACTGCTCCTGGAATTGCACCTGAAACTGCACCTGAAGCTGAAGAAGCTGGGCCTGCAGAAGGGTGTGGTAAGCCTGAATCTGAGGCGGATCAGATGGGAGCAAATAAGACCTCTGGAGATCCCGCTTCAGCAGATAAGACCTCCCCAGTTACAACCTCTGGGCATAAGACCTCTGGAGATCTGATTTCAACTGATAAGACCTTGCAAGATAATACCTTGGCAGATAAGACTTCGCAAGATAAGGTCTCAACAGATAAGACCTTGGCAGATAAGACCGTGGCAGATAAGACCTTGGCAGATAAGACCTTGGCAGATAAGACCTTGGCAGATGAGACCATGGCAGATGAGACCTTGGCAAATAAGACCTTGGCAGATGAGACCTCGAGAAGTAAGACCTCGGCAGGTAAAACTGTTGGAAATCCGAACACAGAAAATTTATCTCAAGAAAATGTGATTTCGGAAAAAGGGTCTGGAGCGGATCTTGTTGCGGTGGAGAAGGGTGCGGTTGGGTTGGCTGGTGGGAAGGGGAGGCGAGACGTACAAGCTGACCCTGATCTTCTCAAAACAGACCGTCTGGAAAGAAACTCTCCCAAAACAGACCCTCCCAATACAGACTTCCCGAAAACAGACCCTCTCAAAACAGACCCTTCCAATACAGGCTTTCTGGAAACAGACCCTCCCAAAACAGACCCAGACCCGCCAAAAACTGACTCTCTCAAGAGTGAACTTGAAGCTGCTGGTTTGGATGCCCTAGGGGTGGGAAAAAATAAGGGTGCATCGGCTGATGGAAAGGGGAGCATCGAGCAAAAGCTGGATGCAGATTTTCCCAGATTAGATTCTTCCATATCAGATCCTTGTAGATCAGATCCTCCCAGATTAGATTCTTCCAGATCGGATCCAGATGCTCCTGGAGTGGCAAGGGAACATGAGGAGGAGGAGAAAAGGGAGAGAGGAGAAGGGGAGGAGGAGCAGAAGGCGAGAGCGGAGGAGGGGGAATGGGAGGAAGAGAAAAGGGAGACAGAGGACGGTACGAGAGAGAGGGGAGGAGGGGTGCGAGGAAAGGAAGGAGAGGAAAGAGGAGAAGGGAAAGAAGAAGGGTTGCAGCAGCAGGAGAGGGAGGGAACGGACTGTGTTGGAGAGGATAAGGGGAAAGGAAGGGAAGGGGAGCAATGTGAGAAAGGGGATGCAGGAAAGGGAGGGAAAAGGAGAGGCGATGGGGGAGTTGAGGTTTCTGCAGAGGAGGAAGGGGTTACGGTGGCTCGTGTTGACAGGGAAATGGTGGTCGATGTTTGCAATATTGTGGAGAGAAATACAATGGATGGGGTTAGGGGTAAAGGGGACTTGAAGGAAGGGGAGAAAGAGTGGGTTGCGAGAGAGGAGGGGGCGAAAGGGGAGGGGGAGAAAGTGGGAGGGGAGAGAGCAGAAGAGAAAGAGGGAAGGGAGAAAGAGGAAGGGGAGGAAGCAGAGGCGAAGAAAGAGAAAGTGGAAGGAGACGCCGCAGGAGAGGAGGGAGGAGGAGAGATAAAGGAAGGAGCTAAAGCAAAGATCGAGAAAAAGGAGGAAGTAAAGGAGGGAGGAGTGAATATAGGAAAGGGTACCCAAGATAACGTTGAAAATATCAATGAATCGGAAGCGATGAGGCAGGAAGAAGTGATACTGCTGATGCGGGAGGTTGTATTGGGAGACACAGAATCAAGGCCGAGGGAAAAGGGAGGAGAGACTAAGCTGTGTTGAGGGAATCACGAGAAATTAGCCTGTATTTACCCGGCGAGGAGAAATGCATACTGGGAGCCAGGCCCTCAGATTCACTTTTAGGGATGTTGATGCATCAGGGTCCCTGTGAAAAAAAGCCTGAATTTTCAGGGTTCCTAAAACAAAAAGCCTGAATTTTCAGGGTTCCAGAAAACAAAAGCCTGAATTTTCAATCACATCATGTAATTATGCAAGAGAGTAGACTTTGCGAACATGGAGTAGAGGGATTCGAATCGAAAACCTTATCAATCGGTATCTACTTGCGCGGGCGGACGGATGTGCCCTGTATTGTGGTATGCACGACGAAAACACTTCGGCTAGCCCCTTATACGAATCAATGCATGTATGCTGTGAAACAACAAACAATATTACGGTCTAGCCTCAGCAGCGCCAGGACGCCTTAGGCAGCGCGAAATCGCCCCTTAGCAGCGCCCCGACGCCACCAGGCAGCGCGACCTAGCCTCAGCAGCGCCAGGACGCCTTAGGCAGCGCGAAATCGCCCCTTAGCAGCGCCCCGACGCCACCAGGCAGCGCGATCTAGCCTCAGCAGCGCCAGGACGCCTTAGGCAGCGCGAAATCGCCCCTTAGCAGCGCCCCGACGCCACCAGGCAGCGCGAAATCGCCCCTTAGCAGCGCCCCGACGCCACCAGGCAGCGCGATCTAGCCTCAGCAGCGCCAGGACGCCTTAGGCAGCGCGAAATCGCCCCTTAGCAACGCCACCAGGCAGTGCGATCTAGCCTCAGCAGCGCTAGGACGCCTTGGGCAGCGCGGTACCCGCCCTTAGAAGCACGATCCGCCCTCTGTAGCGCGAAATCCGCCCTTAGCAGTGTGAAATCCTCGTTTAGCATCGCGAAATCTGCCCTTAGCAGCGAGAAATCCGTCCTTGGCAGCGTTAAATCCGTCCTTAGCAGCGTTAAATCTGCCCTTAGCAGCGTTAAATCCACCCTTAGCAGCGTTAAATCCGCCCGAACAGCGCGTAGCAGCGTGAAACCCGCCAGTGCCCAGCAGCGTGCAAGCGCTGGTCGCCATGAACAACAACCCCGAACCCCCTGACCGAGGCCGCCCGGCGCCGCCCTGGGGAGACCCGAGGCGAACAGGGGAACTCCAGGGCGACGTGGAGGAGAGGACAGCAACCAGGGGATGGAAGCGCCCGTCGGAGTCTGGCCCCAAGAGGCTCAGAGAGACGGCACTAGACACACAACACCCACATCTCCGTATCCTACACCACAGTCAAGAGCAGTGCCTCTTAGGCACGCCCAGCAAACGCCAACGGTGCGGATCACTTTCGACGGAGGTGAGGACGGAGGCACACTCTGAAGACACTCCGGGCAGCCCCGCAGCCGGCAGCAATAATTGCCCCAATCAAGGCGGGGTGGTCACAGAAGAGGGCGAACAGGTACACGGGGAGCTTAGGCAGAGCATTGCCCCTAATGCGGCGATGGCAGCATGGGAAGCACACCGCCAGCGTTTGCAGGAGACACACGACAGGCGTCGCCATGCCCTCGGCACTTCGTTGGTGGGCTCCGCCCTCACCGAACGCGGCATCCCGACACTGCGCGGCCCACGTTTGGCCCAACGACAGGAACGGAGGCGCACGCCCGGAGCCCTGTAGGAAAGACCCTGCGCGAGGCGGGCCGGAGGGGGGCAGGAGCTGCGGCCCAGAGGACAGCACGAGTGGCCGGGGGTGCAGCAGGAGCTGCAGGCGGGGGGGCAGAATGAGCTGCAGGCGGGGGGGCAGCAGGAGCGGCAGGCGGGGGGGCAGCAGGAGCTGCAGGCGGGGGGGCAGCAGGAGCTGCAGGCGGGGGGGCAGCAGGAGCTGCAGGCGGGGGGGCAGCAGGAGCTGCAGGCGGGGGGACAGCAGGAGCTGCAGGTGGGGGGGCAGCAGGAGCCGGCCGGAGGGCGGCAGGCGCATGAGGCGATGGAGGTGGAGCAGGGGGCCGGGGAGCAGCAGGAGTTGCGTGCTGGGGGGCAGCAGAAGCTGCAGGCGGGGGGACGGCAGGAGCTGCAGTCGGGGGGACAGCAGGAGCTGCAAGAGGAGGGTCACCAGGAGCTGCAAGCGGGAGGGCAGCAGGAGCTGCAGGCGGGGGGGCAGCAAGAGCTGCATGAGCTGGAGGTGGAGATGGAGGAGCCACAAGAGGAGGCGCGAGGGGAGCTGCCGGTAGGCGTGCAGGAGGGGAGTCAAATCGGGAATCAACCCCAGTCGCAGGAAGGGCGGCGGCAAGGGTGTCATGAGGCGAACCAGCCCTTGACTGGAAGCGTACAACAGGGGTTGCCGATGGGGGAGTCGCAGGAGTTGCAGGTGCAGGATCAGCAGGGGGTCACTAGCCCGGGCGGCACGGGCCAAGCGGAAAGGCCGCGGGCGCGGCGCCGAAGGGGGCGACGACAGGGAGGGCAGAGGGCCGGGGGCCAGCCAGGGGTGACCGGAGCATCCGAGGGAGTGATACAGCCAGGAGGGCAGCCGGGGGTGACCGGAGCACCCCTGGGAGCGCTACAGCCAGGGGGGCAGCCAGGGGTGACAGGAGCACCCCACGGAGCGCTACAGCCAGGGGGGCAGCTGGGGGCGATTGGAGCACCCCAGAGAGAGCAGCAGCCAGGGGGGCAGCCGGGGGTGACCGGAGCACCCCGGGGAGTGCTACAGCCAGGGGGGCAGCCGGGGGTGACCAGAGCACCCCTGGGAGTGCTACAGCCAGGGGGGCAGCCAGGGGTGACCGGAGCACCCCTGGGAGTGCTACAGCCAGGGGGGCAGCCGGGGGTGACAGGAGTACCCCACGGAGCGCTACAGCCAGGGGAGCAGCTGGGGGCGATTGGAGCACGCCAGAGAGAGCAGCAGCTAAGGGGGCAGCCGGGGGTGACCGGAGCACCCCGGGGAGTGCTACAGCCAGGGGGGCAGCCGGGGGTGACCGGAGCACCCCAGGGAGCGCTACAGCCAGGGGAGCAGCTGGGGGTGACCGGAGCACCCCTGGGAGTGCTACAGCCAAGGGGGCAGCCGGGGGGGACCGGAGCACCCCAGGGAGCGCTACAGCTAGGGGAGCAACTGGGGGTGACCGGAGCACCCCAGGGAGCGCTACAGCTAGGGGAGCAGCTGGGGGTGACCGGAGCACCCCTGGGAGTGCTACAGCCAGGGGGGCAGCCGGGGGTGACAGGAGCACATCAGGGAGCGCCTTGGCCAGGGGAGCAGCTGGGGGCGATTGGAGCACCCCAGAGAGAGCAGCAGCCAGAGGGGCAGCCGGGGGTGACCGGAGCACCCCGGGGAGTGCTACAGCCAGGGGGGCAGCCGGGGGTGACCAGAGCACCCCTGGGAGTGCTACAGCCAGGGGGGCAGCCAGGGGTGACCGGAGCACCCCTGGGAGTGCTACAGCCAGGGGGGCAGCCGGGGGTGACAGGAGTACCCCACGGAGCGCTACAGCCAGGGGAGCAGCTGGGGGCGATTGGAGCACGCCAGAGAGAGCAGCAGCTAAGGGGGCAGCCGGGGGTGACCGGAGCACCCCGGGGAGTGCTACAGCCAGGGGGGCAGCCGGGGGTGACCGGAGCACCCCAGGGAGCGCTACAGCCAGGGGAGCAGCTGGGGGTGACCGGAGCACCCCTGGGAGTGCTACAGCCAGGGGGGCAGCCGGGGGGGACCGGAGCACCCCAGGGAGCGCTACAGCTAGGGGAGCAACTGGGGGTGACCGGAGCACCCCTGGGAGTGCTACAGCCAGGGGGGCAGCCGGGGGTGACCGGAGCACCTCAGGGAGCGCTACAGCCAGGGGAGCAGCTGGGGGTGACCGGAGCACCCTTGGGAGTGCTACAGCCAGGGGGGCAGCCGGGGGTGACCGGAGCACCGCAGGGAGCGCTACAGCCAGGGGAGCAGCTGGGGGTGACCGGAGCACCCCTGGGAGTGCTACAGCCAGGGGGGCAGCCGGGGGTGACAGGAGCACCCCAGGGAGCGCTACAGCTAGGGGAGCAGCTGGGGGTGACCGGAGCACCCCTGGGAGTGCTACAGCCAGGGGGGCAGCCGGGGGTGACAGGAGCACATCAGGGAGCGCCTTGGCCAGGGGAGCAGCTGGGGGCGATTGGAGCACCCCAGAGAGAGCAGCAGCCAGAGGGGCAGCCGGGGGTGACCGGAGCACCCCTGGGAGCTCTACAGCCAGGGGGGCAGCCGGGGGTGTCCGGAGCACCCCAGGGAGCGCTACAGCTAGGGGAGCAGCTGGGGGTGACTGGAGCACCCCTGGGAGTGCTACAGTCAGGGGGGCAGCCGGGGGTGACCGGAGCACCCCAGAGAACACAGCAGCCTGGGGGGCAGCCGGGGGTGATCGGAGCACCCCAGAGAACACAGCAGCCTGGGGGGCAGCCGGGAGTGACCGGAGCACCCCAGAGAACACAGCAGCCTGGGGGGCGGCCGGGAGTGACCGGAGCACCCGAGGGAGAGCAGCAGCCAGGGGGGCAGCCGGGGGTGACCAAAGCACCCCACGGAGTGCTACAGCCAGGGGGGCAGCCGGGGGTGACCGGAGCACCCCAGGGAGTGTTACAGCCAGGGGGGCAGCCGGGGGTGACCGGAGCACCCCTGGGAGTGCTACAGCCAGGGGAGCAGCTGGGGGTGACCGGAGCACCCCTAGGAGTGCTACAGGCACGGGGGCAGCCGGGGGTGACCGGAGCACCCCAAGGAGTGCTACAGCCAGGGGGGCAGCCGGGGGTGACCGGAGCACCCCTGGGAGTGCTACAGCCAGGGGGCCAGTCGGGGGTGACAGGAGCACCCCAGGGAGCGCTACAGCCAGGGGAGCAGCTGGGGGCGATTGGAGCACCCCAGAGAGTGCAGCAGCCAGGGGGGCAGCCGGGGGTGACCGGAGCACCCCTGGGAGTTCTACAGACAGGGGGGCAGCCGGGGGTGACTGGAGCACCCCAGGGAGTGCTACAGCCAGGGGGGCAGCCGGGGGCGACCGGAGCACCCCTGGGAGTGCTACAGCCAGGGGGGCAGCCGGGGGTGACCGGAGCACCCTAGATAGAGCAGCAGCCAGGGGGGCAGTCATTGGACGACCGGGAGCAGCAGTTGGAGGAGTGGTGCCGACTTTTGGAGTTTGATACCCCCATGGCGACTGCGGAGGAGTCAGAGGCGGACGAAGAACCTCCCATGCAGCCTTCCCCATGCCCTCGTTTTCCGTGTGACACGTGTTTTCACACGTTCGCTACGCGAGGGGCTGCTGCGAACCACATGAGGGTATGCCGGGCGGCTGAGGCGGAGAGGCGCGCGCAGGCACTTGGCTCGACCCCGTCACTGGTGGAGACCGACACGCAGGAGCGACCGACGCCGCGGGAATTTGGGGACGAGGCGTGGGCCGGGGTTACGTCTTGGGAATGGGAAGCATTTTTCAGTGTGGAGGCGGTTGGAGGGAGGACAGTGCGCCGGATCCCACAGCGGGCTCGGTCGGGGGTCTTAGACGCGCTCTGTTGCGTCTTAAAGCGTTTGAAGAGCCGGCCGGGGGATGAAGCCGCTACCCTCCTACTCTTGGCTTTTCCGCGCCTCATCCTAGCCGTGCCTCCCAAGCCAGGCATAGGACAGAAGGCGCTGATCATAGAGCGGTTGGGGGCGTTTTGGGAGGGGAGGTGGCGGGAGCTGTTCGACTCCGCCATGGTGGCGGCGCGGCCAGCAGTACGCCCACTTGCCTACACTTGCTCTGACCAGGACCCGGATGCCATCCGCCTGTCACGGTGCCGATCTCGGTGTAAAGTGGGAGAGTGGAGCCGCGGATTGGCTTGCCTTACAGCAGGGGAGTTGGCCCGGCCGTCTGAGGCCATGGTGCAGTCGCTGCGAGAGAAGCACCCTGCTAGCACTAGCGAGGTACCACAGTGGGTCCGTGATTTCACCGTCGATGCTCCTCAGCGGCCTCCACTCACGGCCGACATCCTGGCCAGAACTATCCATACAGCCGCTCGCACTTCAGCAGCAGGGCCATCGGGGTGGGTCACAAAGCATCTGCGCGACACCTTCCTCACTGAACCTTCCTGCCTTTCCCACCTGTTGGAGGTGTTCAACCAATGGGTGGCGGGACAGGTCCCCGAGCGGGCTCGGCCCTGGCTCGCCGCATCCAACCTAGTTGGGCTTTCCAAGCCTAACGGCGACGTCCGGCCGGTCGCGATTGGGGAAGTGCTTCCGCGTATCCTTGCTCGAGCTCTCTGCATCTCGCTCCGCCCTACGATGGCTTCCTACTTTCTGCCGTGCAACCAGCTGGGAGCGGGCACCAGGGCCGGGGTAGAGATTCTTACCCATTCTTTCCGGTCAGCGCTGGCTACTCACCCCGACTGGTGTGCGCTGCAGATAGATGTCGCGAACGCCTTCAATTCGTTTCACCGTCATGCGATGTTTGAGGGGCTGCGGGAGTCGCCTTTCTCAGGGTTGATCCCATTCTTACGTGTTTTCTACGGGACACCTAGCGATCTGTACCTCCGAGCGGGCCCTTTTGTACAGAGCCTTGAGTCGGCACGAGGATCACGGCAAGGGGACCCGCTCGGCCCTTTTCTTTTCGCGTTCACGCAGCAGCAGGTGATGGAGTCGGTGACTAGAGAGTTCAGGGACCTACTTTTCCTGAGCTACGCAGACGATACCTATATCATGGGACCGGCGGCTAGGATTCTAGAGGCGTTTGGGGTGCTGCGGGAGCGGTTGGAATGGGTGGGGCTGGAGGTGCAGGCTCACAAGTGCCGGTTTTGGGAGCGCGAGGGCGGGGATGTGGAGCTGGCACTGCCATTGGGGATGCAGCGGGTGGAGGAGGGTCTCACTGTGGTGGGCATGCCTATTGGGGAGGAGGGTTGGGAGGTGACCCGGTTACGGGAGCGGCTTAGACAGTTGCAGGCGCAATTGCCATGGCTCCCCCTGCTCGACCACCCCCAGATGGCTTCACATCTCCTCGCCATTGCAGTTTCAGCACGGCCGATGTACCTGGCCCGGACTATGCCGCCGCGTCCGGAGGTGGTGGAGGCCTTCAGGGATTGGGATAGCTGTCTGGAGGATTGCTTTGAGCAGCTTTTCCCACCTGGCACTTGGGAGCATGACCCCGACCGGTCTAGGCGCGCGCGCATGCAGCTGCATCTCCCTGTGCGACTCGGAGGGTTTGGGATCCGGGCAGCAGCCTCTTTGAGTCCGCTGTCCTATGTTTGTGGATGGGCGCAGGCCGCGCGTGATATTGCACAGTTGGGGGTGGCGGGCGAGGAGGCGATGTTTGCGGAGTACCTCACCACTTCGGCAGGGGCGGAGTTTCTTGACCCGTGGTTTGCCAAGGCTCTTGAGCAGCTGCCTGCGACTATACGCCAGGAGATGCCGGGCTTACCTCTGTGCGTAGCGGCCCCTCCTCTTCGGCTTTTCCAGGCGCGGCAGCGGTTGTTGGCGGTAGAGGAGCTCCAGACACTGCGTCGCTCGGCTCGTGACGATGCCACCCTGGCCCGTTTCACATCCCTTCAGGGCCCGGGGGCTGGTGCATGGGTTTCGGCGGTTCCGGCTCACTCAGATCTCACATTCACTGCGGCGGAGTGGGGCATTGCTGCTGCTATACGGCTCGGGCTCCCAATTCAGCAGCTGCAGGTGGCGGGGAGGTGTGTTTGTGGCACAGCATATGTTGACCCAGCAGACCCGCATCATGCCCTGAGATGCAAGCACCAGCATGGTCCATCTCGGGTACATGATGAGGTGAAGTTTGCGGTGGCGAAGATCTCTAAGGCGCCTGGGGGGGTGGTGACAATGGAGGATAGTGTGGTGCTGCAGGGGAAGCGGGTTGATGTGGCGGTGCAACGACCAATGGCTGGAGAGGCTCACGCCCTGGAGATCAGCGTCGCGGACCCGCTATCGCTGTCTCCATCTTTGCTAGGACAGTGTGGGCGTCAAATAGGCGTGGCGGCAAGAGAATGGGAGCGTCGTAAAACGAGCGATTACGCGCCCCTGCTTGCACGCAACCGGGGCGTGCAGTTCACTCCTCTGATAGTGGATGTTAACGGGAATGAAGTGTTGGCCCCGCCCTCGCTTGGGCAACGCCGACAACTTGGTCGGATGTACGGAAGTAGCAGCCGACTTCTCACAGTGGGATAGCTGCTCGACAGGTTACGTCGAGCTGCAGCGGACCACTGTGGTGTTGCTGTCGACCAGGATGCTCGACAGCTGCACCTGACTGGCCTGGGCGACGGGTGAGCCGTCCGGGAGGTCGACGAAGCAGTCCGTCGACCTACAGTTCGACGGGGAGGTCTATGGAGCATCCCGTCGAACTGCAGCTCGACCGGGAGGTCAACGGAGCGTCCCGTCGAATTGCAGCTCGACCAAGAGGACAACGGAGCATCCCGTCGAACTGCAGTTCGCCCGGTGGTCGACCAGAGGGACCCAGTGGTCGACGGGAGGCACCTGGGAGTCGACCAGAGCACCAGGGGTCGACCAGGTCGACCGGGTAACCTGCTCGACGAGTTCTGCGGAGGCACGCGAACGTCGTCGAGATCGCGATGGCGCAGGCGACTTCGGGCTGGTATCCCGAAGTCGATGTGGCTCGTCAGGCGCAGACAAACAGCCGACGGATGCCCAACGAGGCAAGTCGGGCCAATCGTCTGCGCACACCCGTGAGCGCGCGCACTGCTGTGTTCTACGAGGCACGCCGTCGACCTGCTTTGTTGGCAGGTCGCCCTTCTGCAGTGCTGGCGCGGCTCCTCTACGCAATGCTGGCAGGCGGTCAACCGAGCTGCGCTGGCGGTCGACCAGGCTGGCTGCAGGGTTGCTAGGTGCCTGATGTAGTCATTGTTGTCATTGCTTCTTGATTATTCTAGAATTCCAACTTTGCTAGTGAAAACTCTTGCCAAATTCTTTCGTGAATGTGCAAACACTAAGGAACTAAGCAAAGCTAAGATCACCTCTAGTAGTTCGTGCCAACCCCTGTAGTCTAGCTCACTACCGTTGTAGAGTTAATCTCCACAGTGGAGACATGGGGGTGTCTCGGCGGTCGCTTTCGGAGGTGGCTTCGTCAGCTGGGAGATGCGCACGTGGGGCTAGCTGTGTCGCGGGGGGCTTGTCGGGAGGACGACACTGTGTTTTCGGCTTATCTTCTAGGGTCACTGAAGGCGCTCATCGGGGTGGCGTTGCAACGTGCGCAAGCCCGTGTCATCCTGCTTCGAGCGGCGTCTTCTATGGGGGGGATTAACGTTGACTTGGTGGACCGGGAGTGGGACGATGGCGATGCGGAAGGCGGGGCTCTCTGGGTGGAGGCCCCGTACATGGTGGATTCGCTGTTGTGATTGGGGGGGGGGGGGGGGAATGGGGTGTGGGATGGGATGTCTTGACAGGGTGTCTTGACTGGGCGTTTTGATTGGGTATCTTGAGGGGGGGTTTTATGTGTGTTGCATTTGGGTTCTTCTTGGCGGTTTCACTTTCCTTCTCCCTTTCTCTTTTCTTTTCTTTTCTTCTTCATTATTACAATAAAATATCCCAAAGAAGGGCACTAAGCCAGTTCATCGAGTCAACGATCAGTATTTTTCACACAAGATTTGATTATGCGGAAATGTTGGTTGACTTATTGTCTCGGGTGTTTTACGGGAAGGATTCGGAATGTACATTCAGTGTATACCAGGGCTTCAGATTCGTTTTGGGCCACCCTTAGTAATCAGGGTTCTAGGTATAGTCAACCCTGATGCGTAGGGTAACATTTTGGTTTCCCTGACAAATGCAGGGTAAAAAAACAGTTAGTCTGTTTGGGCAGGGTATTCTTAAAAATTTGTGCCGAAGCACTTATGATCAATGGCTAGTAGTTCAGCTGGTTCAATTGCGCATTAGATCTGTAAGGTGCTAGTTCTAATCTCGCTAGAGGTATCGTTTTGCAGGGACCTGTATAGTGTTTCGTCTCGCTACGGAGCACTCAGTACCAGTATAACTGGGACTGTACACTGTACAGTCAGAGTAATGTGTTCCTTATGCTGTTTTTCAAAGGGTATTTAAAAACTTACACTTTCTGGCCTAGGGTAAAAAATCCACTACCCTCATCGATATTCTGCCCTAGGGTAAAAAATCCACTTACACTTTCTGGCCTAGGGTTAAAAATCCACTACCTGTCGCTCGATATTCTGCCGGTGCACTGCATCTGTGTTCTGTGTCAGTGTTGCTTCACCCTGCAGTCACCCCACCACAATATAGCCAGCAAATTTGACCTTGTTACAAAAAGTACTGTAGAGTTTCTGGGCTTGTCGTCCCTCGAACCGCTTCAAGCTACGGTCCAATAAGGAATAACCACGTGCCTAGTCGATTCGCCCTCGAAAGTACCTCCCCCTGCGTTGCGAGTCGCCCTCATTTCGCTCGATATGTTTCGCAGAAACCGATGCGAAGTCGTCTGTTCAGTCGACGACAGCCCTCGTTGGCCCATAAATACACGGATGGGCGAATTTGCTTCGCGGCATCCACTTGGACATCACTATGTGATTTGCCACCGACTTCACAATGTTTGTTCTGACCGCTGCGAATTTGATATCCGTAGTGTTTGACCAGTCGTTGTACAGAGTTGTTTCTATGTATGCGTAATCATTATGTCAAAATCGTACCATAAACGGTTCGTACATATCATGTGATTGAGAGCCCCTTGTCGAATTAACAAAGCTTTCCATACACCTTTGCACTTTTTTATGACCAAGGGCAGTCCTTCGGTCAGTTTGAATGGAGACCAACTCCTCCTCCACCAAGCTCACCAGGCAGAGATGTGCCTTTCATCAGCCTCAGGCCACATGAGCTTGCCCTCGAGATTGTTGGGTTTGAACCTCGAGGGGAACTCCACTCCACACCACATATCGTTCTCCTCATGACGAGTCTCTCAACCAACATTATCTTCTCATTACACGCATCGCTTTCCATACGTGAGGCGATCCCGAGAAGCAACTCCCTCCACTGAAACCATCCCAGTTTCGATGTTGACTGGATCCTCGTAATAGATTCACCGTCTACACGAGCTGCTGCGCTACGCTCGTAGTTTCCTGTTTTCCTTCGTGGTTGCGTTATTGCGTCGGTTGTATTCCCTGCGCTACGACTGATCCATTACCTTTCAATTGACCAAAGTGATCATACAGCTCTTTACGTTCGAACGTTGACAGGAAGCATTGTCATTTGCTCTTACGACTCCCGAACGACACCAGAGTGATCGCAACCTAAAGCATGTCGTCGTAACGAATATACGATCGTCGTTCAGGAGAAGGTCAACGTGTATCACGTAGCCTTATTATTGTTGGCTCCCCAAGTGCGTCTCTTAGAGGACCACCATGGTTTCGTTTTACGAGTCGAAGCTACGTTGCAGTGGTTTCCGCGATCGCCGTTCCCAATCTAGACAACCCTTCAGTTTCGCACCTCTAATTACATCCTTATCCCATCGGTTACCATTCGCGCTGCTACTTCTGGCGGCTCTCCCAGCAACCCTATTACCCTGTCAAATCCAAGCTACCCGGCCTTCCGTACCCGTTACAAGCGCCACCGATTTCGTGACAAGACCAGGTTCTAGGATTGGTTCCAGACCCGTTCGATCTCTCCGTTCGCTCGTCGAATCCCAGCCGTCCGATGGGTCATCCTCGTTTTACGTCCTCCCCGTCACCCACTCATACGCGCATCTCTCCGAAAGCTCCTTCCACGCGCGTCACGGGCAGCCACGTGGCATCATGACCGCAGATCACGCCCGACTGCTCAAACTGCACGATCGTCGCCGGCTCCTCCGGCTTCAAGGAAAGTCTCCCTCCGCCAAAACCGGCACACAAAACGGCGCAGTTAGGGCGGGAACAGGGGATTGGACGATCAGTGCAAACGTGGGGAACATATCTCTGGCCGAAGGGACGGTGACGGAAGTGGGAGGCGGAGCGTTCTACCAGCTAGGAGGCAATATGGAGATGACTATAGCGGGGTAGGTTCTAGCTGAGATGACTATAACGGGTATGTGCGAGGTGACTGTAGCGGGACTTGTACGATTGGGAATGACAATGAGCATATGTGGGTCATTTGAGACTGAGGACTCAGGACTGAAGATTGCAGCACTTGTTCTCCTTCACGTCACTGCAGTCCTCTCACAGTCCACCTTCCCCCTCCCACGTTAAGTCCCCTCCCGTTTCATCCTCGTTACTCGCACTAGCCCTGATGCACTCACCCTGAATTCGTCACCCTGCCCGTCGTTCCCTGTCTCCAGCCTCTATTGGGCGGAGGTGCAGCTCGGGCAGCCCGTGCAAAAGTTTAAGGTTCAGATTGACACGGGCAGTGACGTCATGTGGGTCACCTGCGCGCCCTGCCTCGCCTGTCCGGTCGCTTCCACAGTGGTGCGTGGCTTCTCATTCCGGTTGTGGGGAGTTTAGAGGAGTAAGAAACGGTTAGCAGGAGGGGTTTACGTGCCTTGCAACATTTCCAAGGCACTGACTCCTGACGTGCCTCACTAATTCATCACCACTGTCCCCACCCCCTCCCCACCCTCCGCCCCACCCGCCCCCAACCCCTCCCCCTCCCCTCCTCTCCCCAATTCAATGTCTCTCCTGCAAGTCTTTTTCTCCTTTTCTTACAGCACTACCAAGTCACTGATCCCTGACGTGCCTGAAAAGCACACCCTCTTATTCATCACCACTATCCTCCCCCACTTCCCAAACACCGCATCTCTCGCACAGGTCCTTTCCCCGCCGTACGACATTACCAAGTCGTCAACAGCTCAGGTCAGCTGGGTGGGTTGGTGGTGCATGGGGGGATGTTGGTGGGCTGGTGCGTGGGGGAGGTGCTGGGTGGGTGGGCAGATTGATGTAAAGGCGCTGCAACTAGTCATGCCATCTCGACTTCTCCTGCTACTTGCTTTGGGTTGAGGCCCTTGCTCTTTCTCCTGGTACTTGCTTTGGGTTGAGGCCCTTGCTCTTTCTCCTGCTACTTGCTTTGGGTTGAGGCCCTTGCTCTTTCTCCTGCTACTTGCATTGCACACATGTTTAGCCGTCCTTTATTTCCTGCCTCCTCCTCCCCCTCCTCCAACCCCTCCCTCCCCTTCTCTCTCTTTTTTTCATACCAGGTGGTTGATTGCGGCACCTCCACCTGCTCGGCGCTGCAGCAAACCAGACGAACCCTCGGGCAGGGATGCCTGGACATCTTGTATCCCAGCTCAGGGGACCCGCGGTGCTACTACGGCATCCAGTACGCCGACAAGTCCAGCAGCACCGGCTACTTGGTTAAAGACCGGCTTACCTTCTCTACTTTGGGCGGTGATCCCGCTTCTATGGACTACCTGTTTGGGTGAGCGCGAGGGGGCGGGCAGGGGCGGGTAGGGGCGGGCAGGGGGGGGCAGGGGAAAGGAGGGGAAAGGAGAGTAGAAAGAGAGGGGAAAGAGGGGCTGTCTGTGTGGACATGCTGCACCCCATCCAACTCGAGGGACCCGCGCGGTGCTACTACGGCATCCAGTACGCCGACAACTCCAGCAGCACCGGCTATTTGGTAAGGGACCGGCTCTCGTTTTCTACTCTGGGGGGCGATCCCGCCTCCATGGACTATCTCTTTGGGTGAGCGCGAGGGTAGGGAGAGGGGGGCTGGGGACGGGAGAGGGAGAGGGAGAGGGAGAGGGAGAAAGGGCATGGGCTCGCTCTCCATGCTCACGCACATGCAGGCAGCATGCAATACCACTGCTTGCTGCGTCAGCATGGGCCGTTGATCTCCTCTCTCCTTTCATCGCTCATGCACATTGCCTTGCCTCCTGCCCGCCCCCGCCGCCCCATGCTCCCAATCACTCCTTCACCAGTTGTGGGTTCCAGCAGTCAGGCAACCTGGTATCCGGAAACCATCTAGTGGACGGGGTCATGGGGCTCAACATGGGGTCGCTCCCCATGCTCACTCTCTTTCCCCCTCCCCTCGCACTTTTGAGGCGCCTCAAAACTTTTGAGGACTTTTGAGGCCCCTTAAAAGTCTTTCCCCCTCCCCTCACACTTTTGAGGCGCCTCAAAAATCTTTCCCCCTCCCCTCGCACACACCGTTCCCCTCCAGCTGTGGGTTCAAGCAGTCGGGCAACCTGGTTTCGGGCAACCACCTAGTAGACGGGGTGATGGGGCTCAACATGGGGGCGCTCTCCATGCTCACTCTCCCCCTCCCTTGCGCTTCTTCTCCCTGCCCCACTCCCTTCCGTCTCCTTCCCTGCCCCTCCAGCTGCGGGTTCCAGCAGTCAGGCAACCTGGTATCGGGCAATCATCTAGTCGATGGAGTGATGGGGCTCAACATGGGGGCGCTCTCCATGCTCACTCAGATGCAGGTGGCACGCAAGACCAACGGCGTGTTTGCGCACTGTCTAGGGGGCGAGGAGCTCGGTGGTGGGAGTCTCATTTTCGGCACAGTTCTGGAGGATGGGCTGCTGTACACGAGTCTACTGGACGATAGGTGAGGGGAATGATGGTGCCAGGTAAGGTGAGTGCAATTCGGCAGGTGAGGGGTTTATGTGGATGGTCTCTATGCTCACTCAAATGCAGCCGGCACGCAAGACCAACGGCGTCTTTGCGCACTGCCTAGGGGGAGAGGAGCTCGGGGGAGGTAGTCTGATTTTTGGAACGGTGCTGGAGGATGGGCTGCTGTACACGAGTCTGCTGGACGACAGGTGAGAGGAATGATGGTTGGTTGGTGTTAGGGCTAGTGATGACAGGTGGGGCACTGCCTGGGAGGCGAGGAGCTGGGGGGAAGGAGTTTGATCTTTGGGACGGTGCTGGAAGATGGGCTGCTATACACGAGTCTATTGGCCGACAGGTGAGGGAATCCGCCAGGTGAGGGGTTTATGTGGGGTGCTTGCTCTATGCTCACACAGATGCAGGGTATCTCATCTGCTTTTGAGTCGTGTTTTGAGTCGACTCAATAGCAGATCTATGCTCACACAAATGGATGGTACTGAGTCGTGTTTTGAGTCGACTCAATAGCAGATCTATGCTCACACAAATGGATGGTACTGAGTCGTGTTTTGAGTCGACTCAATAGCAGATCTATGCTCACACAAATGGATGGTACTGAGTCGTGTTTTGAGTCGACTCAATAGCAGATCTATGCTCACACAAATGGATGGTACTGAGTCGTGTTTTGAGTCGACTCAATAGCAGATCTATGCTCACACAAATGGATGGTACTGAGTCGCGTTTTGAGTCGACTCGAAAGCAGATCTATGCTCACTCAAATGCAGGGTACTGAGTCGTGTTTTGAGTCGACTCAATAGCAGATCTATGCTCACACAAATGCAGGGTACTGAGTCGTGTTTTGAGTCAACTCAATAGCAGATCTATGCTCACACAAATGCAGGGTACTGAGTCGTGTTTTGAGTCGACTCAATAGCAGATCTATGCTCACTCAAATGCAGGGTACTGAGTCGTGTTTTGAGTCGACTCAATAGCAGATCTATGCTCACACAAATGGATGGTACTGAGTCGTGTTTTGAGTCGACTCAATAGCAGATCTATGCTCACACAAATGGATGGTACTGAGTCGTGTTTTGAGTCGACTCAATAGCAGATCTATGCTCACACAAATGGATGGTACTGAGTCGTGTTTTGAGTCGACTCAATAGCAGATCTATGCTCACACAAATGGATGGTACTGAGTCGTGTTTTGAGTCGACTCAATAGCAGATCTATGCTCACACAAATGGATGGTACTGAGTCGTGTTTTGAGTCGACTCAATAGCAGATCTATGCTCACACAAATGGATGGTACTGAGTCGCGTTTTGAGTCGACTCGAAAGCAGATCTATTCTCACACAAATGCAGGGTACTGAGTCGTGTTTTGAGTCGACTCAATAGCAGATCTATGCTCACACAAATGCAGGGTACTGAGTCGTGTTTTGAGTCAACTCAATAGCAGATCTATGCTCACACAAATGCAGGGTACTGAGTCGTGTTTTGAGTCGACTCAATAGCAGATCTATGCTCACTCAAATGCAGGGTACTGAGTCGTGTTTTGAGTCGACTCAATAGCAGATCTATGCTCACACAAATGGATGGTACTGAGTCGTGTTTTGAGTCGACTCAATAGCAGATCTATGCTCACACAAATGGATGGTACTGAGTCGTGTTTTGAGTCGACTCAATAGCAGATCTATGCTCACACAAATGGATGGTACTGAGTCGTGTTTTGAGTCGACTCAATAGCAGATCTATGCTCACACAAATGGATGGTACTGAGTCGTGTTTTGAGTCGACTCGAAAGCAGATCTATGCTCACACAAATGCAGGGTACTGAGTCGTGTTTTGAGTCGACTCAATAGCAGATCTATGCTCACTCAAATGCAGGGTACTGAGTCGTGTTTTGAGTTGACTCAATAGCAGATCTATGCTCACACAAATGGATGGTACTGAGTCGTGTTTTGAGTCGACTCAATAGCAGATCTATGCTCACACAAATGGATGGTACTGAGTCGTGTTTTGAGTCGACTCAATAGCAGATCTATGCTCACACAAATGGATGGTACTGAGTCGTGTTTTGAGTCGACTCAATAGCAGATCTATGCTCACACAAATGGATGGTACTGAGTCGTGTTTTGAGTCGACTCAATAGCAGATCTATGCTCACACAAATGGATGGTACTGAGTCGTGTTTTGAGTCGACTCAATAGCAGATCTATGCTCACACAAATGGATGGTACTGAGTCGTGTTTTGAGTCGACTCGAAAGCAGATCTATGCTCACACAAATGCAGGGTACTGAGTCGTGTTTTGAGTCGACTCAATAGCAGATCTATGCTCACACAAATGCAGGGTACAGAGTCGTGTTTTGAGTCAACTCAATAGCAGATCTATGCTCACACAAATGCAGGGTACTGAGTCGTGTTTTGAGTCGACTCAATAGCAGATCTATGCTCACTCAAATGCAGGGTACTGAGTCGTGTTTTGAGTCGACTCAATAGCAGATCTATGCTCACACAAATGGATGGTACTGAGTCGTGTTTTGAGTCGACTCAATAGCAGATCTATGCTCACACAAATGGATGGTACTGAGTCGTGTTTTGGGTCGACTCAATAGCAGATCTATGCTCACACAAATGGATGGTACTGAGTCGTGTTTTGAGTCGACTCAATAGCAGATCTATGCTCACACAAATGGATGGTACTGAGTCGTTTTTTGAGTCGACTCGAAAGCAGATCTATGCTCACACAAATGCAGGGTACTGAGTCGTGTTTTGAGTCAACTCAATAGCAGATCTATGCTCACACAAATGCAGGGTACTGAGTCGTGTTTTGAGTCGACTCAATAGCAGATCTATGCTCACTCAAATGCAGGGTACTGAGTCGTGTTTTGAGTTGACTCAATAGCAGATCTATGCTCACACAAATGGATGGTACTGAGTCGTGTTTTGAGTCGACTCAATAGCAGATCTATGCTCACTCAAATGCAGGGTACTGAGTCGTGTTTTGAGTCGACTCAATAGCAGATCTATGCTCACACAAATGGATGGTACTGAGTCGTGTTTTGAGTCGACTCAATAGCAGATCTATGCTCACACAAATGGATGGTACTGAGTCGTGTTTTGGGTCGACTCAATAGCAGATCTATGCTCACACAAATGGATGGTACTGAGTCGTGTTTTGAGTCGACTCAATAGCAGATCTATGCTCACACAAATGGATGGTACTGAGTCGTGTTTTGAGTCGACTCGAAAGCAGATCTATGCTCACACAAATGCAGGGTACTGAGTCGTGTTTTGAGTCGACTCAATAGCAGATCTATGCTCACACAAATGCAGGGTACTGAGTCGTGTTTTGAGTCAACTCAATAGCAGATCTATGCTCACACAAATGCAGGGTACTGAGTCGTGTTTTGAGTCGACTCAATAGCAGATCTATGCTCACTCAAATGCAGGGTACTGAGTCGTGTTTTGAGTTGACTCAATAGCAGATCTATGCTCACACAAATGGATGGTACTGAGTCGTGTTTTGAGTCGACTCAATAGCAGATCTATGCTCACACAAATGGATGGTACTGAGTCGTGTTTTGAGTCGACTCAATAGCAGATCTATGCTCACACAAATGGATGGTACTGAGTCGTGTTTTGAGTCGACTCAATAGCAGATCTATGCTCACACAAATGGATGGTACTGAGTCGTGTTTTGAGACGACTCAATAGCAGATCTATGCTCACTCAAATGCAGGGTACTTCATCCCCAATGCTTCACTTCAATGCTCCCTCACCCCCTTTCAACCCCCCCAATAGGTCGCACTACTATGTCCAGTTGAACGGCGTATCAGTGGGAGGGCAGCGCCTGCCAGGCGTTGACCAGCCGGCCTTCTCCTCGCAGCAGGACGTGTTTGGCTGCTCACACCCTCCCCCCCACCCTCCTCTTGTTCCCAACCCCTCCTCTTGCCCTTCGTCCCCCAACCCCAGATCACATTATTATGTCCAGTTGAACGGCATCTCAGTGGGGGGGCAGCGCCTGCCAGGCATCGACCAGTCGTCCTTCTCCCCGCAGCCGGACGTGTTTGGCGGCTCGGGCAGCCTGCAGGCGGGAGGGGTGATCATAGACAGCGGCACCACCCTCGCCATGTTCCCCACTCCGATTTACAACACGTGGCTGGACGCGGTGAGTGTTGCTTGTGGCAGTCAGGGGGCAGCAGTGTGTGCATGGCTTCATGCACTGGTTTTACTGCGGGTCGGGGAGCCTGCAGGGGGGAGGGAGGGGTGATTATGGACAGTGGCACCACCCTCGCCATGTTCCCCACGCCCATCTACAACACGTGGCTGGACGCGGTGAGTGGGAAGGAGGACCTCACCTTTGTCAACAGCAGCACCAGTGAGGAGTGCACACAGTCCATGACGGGCAGAGGAGGAGGATAGCATTTTTGTCAGCAGCAGCATCGGCAACGCGAACAACCCACGTGGTGAGTGCACCGCCTCCCTCAGGCCCCTCTGGTGGATGACAAGGGGGCCTGAGGGAGGCGGTGCACTCACCACGTGGGTTGTTCGCGTTGCCGATGCTGCTGTTGACAAAAATGCTATCCTCCTCCTCATGCCTCTCATAGGCTGTGCACTCCTCACTGGTGCTGCTGTTGACAAAGCCCTCCTCATCGGTGCTGCTCTTGATAGTTAGGTTACTGCTTTCATTACTCTTCCAAAAGAGCCTCCACTTCTGTCGTTCCTCACCTCCTCCCGACTCCCACCCCTCTCCTCCCCACATTGCCCCCTGTTACCAGGTTACTTCTCTCATCACCTTGCCCCAAGTGGGCGCCACGTCAGACTTCCTCTGCTACGACTTTGGCTCCAAGTGAGTGCGCTACAGGCAGTTGTGCAAGAGTAAGGCTGTGTTGCACTACTGCCAGAAGTGCTACAGCCAGCCGTGCTACAGCCAAATGCACCGCAGCTAGTTGTAGCACGGCCTGTTTATCACAGCAATATTTCCCACCCGCACCAGGGGCAGCTGTGGTATGGTATGGATGGCTAATGCCTCCCATTAAGCAAGGGCAATTAAAGTATAGATAAAAGTTCCTCCACCATTTCTCAGGCACCTCAGAATTAGTCATCAACTGTTCTGCCCCACCACCCCCCTCCCCCTCTCCCCCTCCCCGCTCCCCGCTTCCCGTCTCCTGTCCTGCGTTCTTGCCTCCTTATCACAGCAAGTATGAGGAACTTTCCAAGTACTTTCCGACGGTGACTCTGCATTTCGAGGGGGCAGACATGACCGTTGAACCCCCCGGCTATGTCTTCCTGCACTCAAATGTGAGTCCACTATGCCTTTCCTTCCGCTCCTCCCTTATCAATCAAGCCCCGTCCCCCATCTGAGAGGGCTGACCGTTGAACCCCCCGGCTACGTCTTCCTGCATTCAAACGTGAGCCCAGCATGCCATCCCCTTTCTACCCCTGCCTGGGTTATTTATTTTGAGTCGACCAGAAATACATGACCGTCGAACCCCCCGGCTATGTGTTCACATATAGCATTGTCAAACTGCACATTGCCCTCCAATGTGAGCCCAGCATGCGATCCCTTCCAATCTTTCCTATTGAATCAAGCCCATCCCACATCTGAGAGTACATGACCATCGTCCCTCGCGGCTATGACTTCCTGCGTTTTAATGTGAGCCCACTATGCCATTCCTCCCCCTTCCGCCCCCCTCTCCCCCCTCCCACTCTTTCTCCCCCTTGACGCTTCCTCTCCCACTCTTCCCCCTTTTCCACTCTTCCTCCCCACGCCACCTCCCTCTCCCTTTTTCCTGCAATTTTTTCGAGTCCGGCCTTCCAGCCTTTTCCCTCCTGCACACCTCGCCTCCGGCCCTCAGTGATTGCAGCGTTCCACCCCTCCCCTCTGGGCCATGCTCAGAGGAAGAGAGGAGACTACTATTGAGGCACCTCAATAAGCCCATGTTTGGTCACGTGATTGCATGTGTGTGTCTGTGTGATTGCATGTGTGTGTGTTTGTGATTGCATGTGTGTGTGTTTGTGATTGCATGTGTGTGTGTGCATGTGGCTGGCAGGGGGTGGTCATGGCTGCGTGCATAGGATGGCAACCCATGCTTGGAGGAGACTTTTCCAAGATAACTGTCATTGGAGGTATGTACACCTTGCATTCCTTACAGTCACTATCATTGGATGTACACATTGCATTTGTTACAGTCACTGTCATGGGAGGTACACCTTGCATTTGTTACTGTCACTGTCATTGGATGTACACCTTGCATTCGTTACTGTCACTGTCATTGGATGTACACATTGCATTTGTTAGCCACTGTCGTTGGAGATACACCTTGCATTCGTTACAGTCACTGTCTTTGGAGGTACACCTTGCATACTGTCACTGTCATTTGGAGGTAGGTACACCTTGCATTTACTGTGTTCACTGGTTCATTTGAGGTGTGTGGCATATTCATTACAGTCACTGTCGTAGGAGGCACACCCCTTGATTGCGTTTCCATCCAGTCACTGCCAATTGAGATACAATCTTGTTTTTGTTACAGTCACTGTTATCAAGGTAGAATTTCGTGTACAATCTTGCCCTCGCCTCCTCCTCCCGCTCACCCTTGCCTATCCTGTCCCTTCTCTCTCCTCTCCCCTTCTCCCAGACATAGTCCTGCGCAACCATCTCGTTGTGTATGACACGGATAACATGAAGCTCGGATGGGCTCCCTACGACTGTGAGTTCCTTTCACTGCACTGCTGCAACAGTGCTCTGAGGTGCTTCTACGGTCAGGTGGCCTTTGACTCAAGTCAAAGGCAACCATCTCGTTGAGTACGACACGGATAACATGAAGCTCGGATGGGCTCCCTACGACTGTGAGTTCCTTTCACTGCACTGCTGCAACAGTGCTCTGAGGTGCCTCTATGGTCAGGTGGCCTTTGACTCGAGTCAAAGGCAACCATCTCGTTGTGTACGACACGGATAACATGAAGCTCGGACGGGCTCCATATGACTGTGAGTTCCATTGCACTTGTGCAACTTTTTTAACTTTTGAGTCTATTGAGAAGTCACCTTGTGGTGTATGACACGGACAACATGAAGCTCGGATGGGCTCCATATGACTGTGAGTCTCCGTGCACTTGTGCAGACAATGTTCATCATTCAATAGTTTTGCTCCCTTCCTTCTTCCTTCCCTCCCTTACTTCCTTCCTCATTCTCTCTCCCTCCTTCCTTCCCACCTTTCTCCCTCCCTCCCACTAAACAAGTTGCTGCCGACAGCTGGATTACACAGTTGGGACGTTTCAAACCACAAGACCTCCACTTGTCTTTTCCTCCCTCTGCGCATCTCATCATACAGGTTCCGTGGGAACGATCACAGCCGATGGAGGGGAATACAACGTCACCATTATTGTGGGAGCCAATCTCTCCCCGCCGCCACCGGTCAAGTCGTCCGCCTCTGCGGCTCGGCGCCCCACTTTCATGCTCTCGCTACTAGCGGCTGCGCTAGCATCTGCAGTGCTTTTCCTCGGCGCTGGTGGAGAGGGTTTGCTAGAAGAGAACGAGTCTTCTTTTCAGCGAGGGCCAGCAGCAGTAGCAGTAATGGAGGCGTCTGGAAGCAGTGGTTTACCGTGTCAAAGGCTTGCGCAAGTTGCACTAGCACAAGGCCGCTCTTGTAGAGAGCTTGAGGAGCACAGTTCACATGAACCAATGCCATGGCTATATGATGATGTGGTAAGATGGTGACGTTTACTGGCAGGTATGAAGTGGCGTCATGTGTGGTGCTGTATTTCCTGTGTAGTTGCTACATGCGAGACAAATCTGCAGTCTATGCATAGTGAAGCAGTTTAGTAGTTTGCGTCGCTTTCAAAGCTTGTATTTGTGAGTTTCTCTCCCAAACATTCTTCCCTTGTCAATCATATCAGCTGTGAATGTGAATACATGTGGTGTAGTGAACTATTTAGCAGATTTTGAATTAGTGGTATCATAAGAAATGATGGGAACCGTTTGCAGCAGTTACCTACCCTCCATGAATTCTCCCTCCCGTTTATCGCAAATCTTTATCGAGGTCGCGTACGTTCGACCTTATCACGTATGCAAAAAAAAACTACTGGTGCTGTTTGGAGATTACCGATAGTGAACCAGGCTTGGTCCGCTCTCACAGCCTCATTGCGCGCACTAGTCCGACATAGTAATCTTGTCAAGAAGAGCTGGAAATACTGGTGTCCTGTTTGGTGCTGATTCTTTTCCATAACATCTCTTTTTTAAATTTATAGTCCAGGCTCTCTCTCGCTTCTCCGCATCTCTCCGCCAAGCGTATCCTCCGTCCCGCAATTTTTTTCCCACATGGATGAGTCGGATTTTCTTAAAGCCCTGGCGCTTTACCCAGTAGTTCGCTCGCGTGACTACAACGAAAACGATCTCCCGGCCACCGCTGCTGCTGCTTCCTCCCACGCATCTGAATCCCAGCGCGGTAATCCCAAGCAAGTCAGTTTACTTGCAGAGGGAGTTTCCGGGCAGCAACCCGAGACAGGTGAAGCGAATCTAGGGCTTGGGGGAACGGCTCCTACTCCTTCTAGGTCGTTTTGGGAAGTGCTGCAGGAGCGAGTGGCGGCGCACTTGCCGCCGGGAGATGCGGTGGCGCTTTGCAACGCGTTGAAAGAGTTTCACGAGGAGCTTATTCAGCAGAGATTGTCGCTGGATGACATTAGGAGGATTGCTAAGCATGGGAAGCTGCTGGAAGTGAAGTGAATTTTCTGAGACGAACTTAAAAGTGTTTCACGAGGAGCAGCTTATCAAGCAGAGATTGTAACTCGATGACATTAGGAGGATTGCTAAGCATGGGAAGCTGCTGCAAGTGAAGTGAAGATTTCATTCTTGCACAAGGATTTCTGGCTTGTTCTGGTGGACGTTACACTACTGATTTGATGGTTCCAGTATTGCATGTCAGAATGAGGAATGAGTGTTGCATTGATGTTGGTTGGGGTACATATGACAAACCCTAACTTCTGTACCCCCTAAGACAAACCTCACTACAGGCTACAACATTTGACACACCCCCATAGCCTAAGTGAGGGGTGTCTAGCAAAAACAAAAAGAGTACGGTCACAAGACCAGTCCAAAAGAAAACAAAGCTCAGGGTGGATCACAACGTCACCACACACTCTGAGCACAAGCAACAGTGGCCACAAGGCCAGTCCAAGAGATCACAAGTATATATAGTAAATGTACAGACGAAGCAGGCAATAAACTCAAGTCTACGCATGACTAGAACCTGTGTCAACAAGGCCTAACTGCACACAACACCTCTGGTGGTCACAAGGCGGAAGCGCCTTGGTGAAGATGTCTGCAGTGTTGGCCTCGGACTCTACGAACTCGAAGCGAGCCTGTCCACGCCTCTGCAACTCTCGCAGAAGAAAGTACCTGATGTGAATGTGCTTCACTCTGCTCTCCAGTCGCGGCTCACGACAGAGGAGGATCGACGCCTTGTTGTCAGTAAACAAGGTCGGTGCAGAGCTCGGCCGCTCACCAAGGTCAGTGAGCAAGAAGGTCAACCACCGCAACTCCTGTGCCGCCATGGCACCAGCGTAAATCTCAGCCTCAGCTGTAGAGGTCGAGACAGAAGAGGAGCGCGTGGAACGCCAGGAAACAGCTCCAGAACCCAGACTGAAACAGTACCCCTGAGTAGACCTGTGAGTCTCAGCGTCGTCAGCGTAAGAGGAGTCACAGTGACCAGTGAGTACGACAGACTGCTGCCCTCCAAGAACTAGCCCCACGCCTGATGTAGTCGCTAGGTACTTCGCCACCCTCACAGCTGCCGTCCAGTGAACAGGACGGTGTCTCCCTGGCGCAACAAAGCGCGCAAGGATGCTGAGAGGGAAGGCGAGGTCCGGGCGAGTACAAGTCATCAGGTACATGAGGCAACCCACAAGCTCTGCGTAGGGACCACTAGGCTCAAACGGCTCGTCAGGAAAGGGACCAGTGAGTCTGTGGTCAACAGCTAGAGGTGTGCGCTGTACGGTGGAGTGCTGAAGCCCGAACCGCTGAAGGACCTGCTGCACCATGTGTGACTGTGAGAGTGTAATGGTGCGAGCGGCTCTGTCCCTGGTGATCTGCAGGCCAAGGTAGTGGCGCAGTTCACCAAGATCAGTGCACGTGTGTCTCTTCTGCAGTTCGGACTTCACGTCTGCCAAAGCAACCCTGTCCGGAGTGGCGAAAACGAGGTCGTCGACGTAAACCAGAACAAAGAACGGTGTGGAGCCACGACGAACGAACAGCGACGGGTCGGCAGAAGACGGCTGGAACCCAAGGTCAGAGAGGGTAGAACGCAGAGTGTCGTGCCACTCACGAGGGGCCTGGCGAAGACCGTAAACAGGTCGCCTCAGCCTCCACTGGGTCCCAGGAGGGAAGGTGCCAGTGAAGGCCGAGGGACGACGCAACCAGACCTCCTCGTGTAGGCTGCCCTGAAGGAAAGCAGTGGAGAAGTCAAGAGAGTGTAACTCGTAGTCTCTCTGTGCTGCTACGTGTAGTAACACCCGAAGAGTGGTCATCTTCGGGGTAGGTGCGAAGGTCTGAAAGAAGTCAACTCCCTCGCGCTGACTGAAACCTCTAGCCACGTAGCGCGCCTTGAAGACCGGGGGAGATCCCGGTGGCCGCTTCACCCTGTAGATCCACATGCCGTCGACTACGTTCGCCCCCGGGGGGGGAACCTCATCGACGTAGGTGCCTGTGGATCTGTAGGAGGCCATCTCTGCGTCCATGGCAGCTCTCCACTGAGAGGCCCAAGGCCCTGACACTGCCTCAGCGTAAGTGCGAGGAGTCGGAATGTCAAGGGCGTCGGGGTCACCCTCAGGGGCGAGGAGCATGGCACAGAGATGAGGGGAAGCGGCCGCCAGGAACTCTAGCTCAAACTGCCTGTCCTCTAGGGCGTCACGGCCAAGGGCAGACACACCCCCGACGGCCAGAGGACTGGTAGGAGGAGCAGCCACAAGCGTGGTGGCGTAGTCAAGGCGGCGGGTAGAGGCAAAGTCAGTAACTGCGGCAGTAAGAGCGGACACAGAGGACACAGAGGCACGAGGGTGAGTAACAAGAGAGGCGAGAACACGAGAGAGAACAGGACGGTACGTGCGGTAGTAGTCAGTGACAGGAGTAGGGAGCGACACAGTGAGGGCCGACTCAGGAGGAGACGGAAGCACAGACTGAGACGGACGAGGTGGACTAGAAAGAAGGAAGGCAGTACGAAGGTCAGTGAAGGGAACAGGAGACGAGGGACGAGCACGAGGGGAGCGACGAGTAGCCCAAGAACGAGACGGAGGAGAAGAGGACAAGGGCGGAGAACTGGGGAAAACAGCGGGGGAGGAGTCAGGAGGAGGAAACGTGGGACCGTAGACAGGAGGAGAGGCGGAGGAGGGAGGAGAAGGGGAGGGGAGACCAAGGATCCGAAGACCCGAGACAGGAGGAGGAAGTGGCTGCTGCTGCTGCGGCTGCGACTGCTGCTGCTGCGGACGCGGCTGCTGCTGGGACTGCTGCTCCTGCGGGTCCAGCTGCTGCTGCTGCTCCTCCAGCCGCTGTAACTCCCTCTCCTCTCTCTCCAACGCCAGCTGATCGTCACGGGCACGGCGAACACGAGCCTGGTGCCTAGTCGGGTAGGGGTGGGGGGGCGGAGTAGTGTCCGAAGCAGCGGCAGCTCCAGAGTCCACTCCAGAAGAACTAGGCTCACCACCCCCAGAGGCAGCACTAACACCAGCTCCAGACCCAGGCTCACCTGAACCCAAAGGAGGCGCACCCTCACCCCCAGACGCAGCACCCCCAGTGTCCGCGCGGCCAGCACCAGCTCCCGGACGACAAGCGTCCTCTGCACCCACCTGGTCAGCTCCAACTCCAGAACCAGAAACTCCAGCTCCAACCCCAGCACCCCCAGAACCAGAAACTCCAGTGCCAACTCCAGCTCCAACTCCAGCTCCAACTCCAGCTCTAACTCCAGCACCCCCAGAACCAGAAACCGGTACAGGAACAGGCGTCGCACCAACCTCTCGAGAGCTAGCACCAGCGGCATGCTGCGAGGAGGACTGTGGGGAGGGAGGCTGTACCGGAGGGGCTACCGAAGGAGGAGGGGTAGCCTGGGACACACCTGACGGGGCTGGACCAGGGGGGGGAGGCTGTACCGGGGGAGCAGGAGGGGGAACGGCAGTCAGGAAGAGGGGGGGAGGAGGAACCGGGAGACCTCGACTGGGGTACCTGACGTAGTACGGAGTGGACTCCTCGAAACGGACGTCACGGGAGTCAAAGAACCGGTGAGAGGGAGGGTGGTAAAAGGTGAAGTCAGAGGAGTCCTCAGGGAAACCAAGGAAGACACAGGGGACGGCACGAGGCGAGAGCTTGTCCGCGGAGGTGTCGCGGACAAGAGCCAAGCACCCCCAGACACGAAACCGCGACGCAACACCAGGGAACCCTGTCCAAAGACTGGTCGGTGAAACCTCTGGTCGAGAGACACGTGGCCAGAGGTTCAGCTGGTGCGCGGCGTACCTGACCGCGTAGGGCCACAGAAAATGGGGGGCACAGGCGTGAGTCAGGGAGGTGCGGGCGATCTCCATGACCAGGCCTATGCGGCGCTCAGCAACCCCATTCTGCTGTGGGGACTCTGGAAGCGTCCAGGACTGACGAATGCCCTGCTCGCGACAGAATCCAGCGAGAATGCCGGAGCGAAACTCACCCCCACGGTCGGAGTGGAGACAGCTGACACGACGACCACGAGTGTCCTCGGTGGTGAGCAACCACCTGATCAGCGTAGAAGTCACCTCAGACTTCTTCGCCAGAGGGAACACTGTGGTGTAGCGAGAGAAGTCGTCAACGACCACCAGAAAGTAACGCTCACGCTCAGGGCCTAGACGAGGGGCTGGGCCCCAGACGTCCAAGTGAAGCGTCTCAAAAGGCTCGGTGGCCGGACGAAGGGAGGAGGAGTGAGGGGTGGCGCGCAGCCTACCCTCGACGCAGGGACGACACGGCGGCGCAGGCGAAGGCGGCAGCGACGGCAAGACACGTGGGAGGCCTAGGACAAGACGCTGACTAGACATAGCGCGCAGACGTGGAAGGGACGGGTGCCCCATCCGGTGGTGCCACAGAACGGTGGGGTGGGCAAGCGACCGGCAGGAGCACGACGCAGCGACTGGAACAGACGGAGGAACCTGACACGACACAGACACCTGGGGGGACGTAGCAACCTGGTGAGACGCGGGGACCCGAACGGGGGGGGGAACCGGGGGCAGTGGCAGTAGGGGGGGCTGCTGGTGCGGCCGCTGGTGCTGCTGCTGCTGCTGCTGCTGCGGCTGCGGCTGCTGCTGCTGCTGCGGCTGCTGCTGCGGCGCACGCGGGCCAGTGTGAAGAGTGTAGAGACCCGAGCCCGGCTCAGCAGTAAAGGTAGCAAGAGGCTGGTAAGAGTCTCCGTCAACACACACCGCAGTCTCTCCAGAAGGCTCAAACCACACACCCACGTGCTGGCTCACGAGGGGTCGCACGCCCACCAAGTTCCGGGAGAACGAGGGGACGTGAAACCCAGTGAGAGACCCGGAGGGAGCAGCAGGACACGGTAAAGTGGTAGTGTGACGTGCAGTGACTGGTCCCGTAGTGGGATCAGCCAACGCTACAGAAACAGGCGCAGGAAGTGGTGTAAGTGTCGTGCTGTCCCGAAAGAAGCAGTGGGAGGCTCCAGAGTCCAGTGTGAACGACAGCGAAGCGTCCTCTGAGGTAGTCGC